TCACCAATATGTTGTGTATTACAGCTTAACGGAATACACAGTTCTATCTTACCAATGTTGTGTACCACATGGTATAAGACTTCAGAGTTAAATCTGACTAATTTGTTTTGTATCAGAGTGTGTGGAATAACATGTATACCAGACATGCTCACCAATATGTTGTGTATTACAGCTTAACGGAATACACAGTTCTATCTTACCAATGTTGTGTACCACATGGTATAAGACTTCAGAGTTAAATCTGACTAATTTGTTTTGTATCAGAGTGTGTGGAATAACATGTATACCAGACATGCTCACCAATATGTTGTGTATTACAGCTTAACGGAATACACAGTTCTATCTTACCAATGTTGTGTACCACATGGTGTCGAATTAGACAGGTTTATCAAAATAGTTCGTCTCGTGGGGAGGAAATTAAATATGTTCATCTGACTTAGTGGTTGTGTCCTAACGGATGTCAAATTAGACAGATTCATAATACCAACATGCTGCGTACAACAAGGTGTCAGAAAAGAAGTATTTTAAATGTTGTTTCATGGAGTCCGAAATTATAGAAGTTCATCTGACTAAGTGGTTTTGCCCTGAGGATATCAGGTTTGACAGGTTCATAAGACCAATATGGTGTGTATCAAAAGGTGTCAGATGATGGAGGTTTATCAAAAATATTGTCTCATGGAGTCAGAGGTTCTGTCCAAGAGGATGTTTTTTAAACGAGTTTATCTAAACGGTATTTAATATATAACAAAATGTCGGATACGACAGGTTTGTCTTGATAACTGGTCATGGCTTATACGATGTTTGGTTACACAGGTTAATCTGAACAGTATTTGATATATAACAAAATGTCGGATTGTCTGGTTAATTTGACTAATTTGATATGCTATGATTCAGAAAATGTCGGATTGTATGGTTAATTTGACCAATTTCATATTCTCTGTTCCAGAAAATGTCATATTAGACAGGTGTATCTGACCAATACGCTATGTTCCAAAAACTGTCGTATTAGGCAAGTACATCGACTCCTAGGCGATTGATTTTGACGCTTGTAGGGGAATTAATCACAAAGATGTCGATTTACGTTAAATCTCTGTCAACGTCACATAATTTATTACCCTGAAACCTTTTTGATCTTTCCATAAACAGCATTCAGACTTGTTGAATGTGAAAGTTAAACAAGGAAATATTACCGCTTGACCTCCTAGTCCTTGACCTTTACATTATCTAATGGATTCTTTGATCTCTGACACCGTTATAATTCAAAAAGTCACAAACAGTAAACGGAGTAAAGCTAAATGAAGGTATTTAGAAGTTTATAACCTTGGTAGTTAAATTTTAACAACGAGAGTTTTTACGACCCATAATGCCTCGCACGATCAGGAGCGCAGGAAACACACAC